TAGAACTGATTAAGAAAGGTGGAAGTAATCTGGGCAAAGAGGTATTAGAAATCTTGAGGAGTATGACAATAAGGTATGTCACTTATGAACTACTTGGTTCGAAACATAAGAAGAATGGAAAAAATATGTTGAAGGAGACTATTAAAAACATAATTATGGGAGAGATAAAATGAGGTCTGTGAGAAACAAAAATGAAAGCATAATATGTCGAAAGCTATGTATAAAGCCATAGATTATGACAACTGTCATTTGATGACTGCATGCCTTGTGTTTTTTAGGTGTAAGGACGTGCATGATATTAAAAAAAGGTTATTTTAAATACTACAGTAACGAAAGATGTATTGCTGTCGATGAAAAGAAAAAAGAAAAATTGGAACATTTATTACTCGTGTAAAGATATTAGAAGGGTATAATAAAGGGGAACGGGTAGAAGATATGGAAAGTGATGACCCAAAAATACTAAAACCAAGCATTAGATATGTTTAAAACAGGCCCACTGATCAATTAGAGAAAGTAATTAATTAATGTTACTGTAGACAGGACATTTCCATTATCTACCGGCATTATCCCCGCAGCACTTCAAGGAGAATCTGTGCCTTGTGAAATACAAGAGAGGGACCCCAAGATACAAGAGTACAAGATCAGCGGCGATGTGCAGTAGAAAAGTTTGCAGTACCGGTAATTAGTAACAGGAAGAAGGAAGACTTGATAGATGTACTGCGTGTATTGGGTGCTAGGTGAGCAGGCGAGAAATCCTCATGTTTATATGTTCATAATTATTTTTTATCATCTACTTAAACTGAGGATAGGGCAGACAGAGCGAGGAAGAGGCAGAGATAGGAAGAGAGAGGGCGGCAGAGATCAGAGAGGGGGACCAGAAGAGCGAGAGAGAGAGAGAGAGAGAGGAGAGAGAGAGAGAGACGAAGAGAGAAGAAGAGGAGAGAGAGAGGGTGAGAGAGAGAGACAGAGAGAAACGTTTACAGTAAATATATAGAAAAATATAAATATATAAATAGAGTAAATATTAAAATTTAGCCATCATTAAGTGATCGGTAATGTCGGCGATATATATAGCCATCACATACTAGCACGCATTCGGGTACCCTCGGACCATTCAGAGAATAGCGCCTCGGGGTTAGCACGGAGGCCACCATGTTGGAATATACGTCACATGATGGGATCTACTTTACACGATGGCGGCGGCCATGTGCTGCGTTTGTCGCAGTGACAAGCGACGGTTAATACGACTCAATAGCAAGAAATCGTGTTTGTCAGGCACAACAGCCAAGTTAAAAAAATTTGTAAGTAACGCAGAAGTCCAAATTTCTATAGATTCGTTTTTTCAGACACCGTGTGCATCGATCTGCGATCCGTGTGTCAAATTTGTAGACACGGCATTGACATATCGTCAGAACGTTTATCGGTTTAGTAGTCTGGTGTCACAACCCACGCTTGATATCACATCGGCGCTACGCAGATTGGATTGTTATTCGTCAGTGCTTGCTCGAACTACGGTGCTAGCTCGCTTGGTGCTTTGATAACGACCAGCACAGACGCCCGACCCATCGGCGTTGCGACTCGCTCGTCGTTGTCGCTCGCCGTGTCGTGGATAGCTGTGTGTGTGGTCGATAGAGACGGTGCGGGGAAGCTAAATCTCCGCATTTCAAGCAGATCATCATCGACATGCAAGAAGAAAATTACATTTGATCACGTCTACACGAAGGGCCAAGTGCATACTGACACTACTGATTCCCTTTCCAATTTCGACATGTCTGTGATGTTCACTGAGTTCGATGAAGAAATTGACA